TTATGAAGTTGCTACATAAAAAGAGGGTGTAATGTAGGGGTTTTTTTTGTTTGTTGTTGTTAAAATTTTTTTTGGTCTTTTATGGGGTGTGATGAAGTCTAGATAGCCTTAAATAAATTATAAAAAAGTATAGCTGAAAATCAATGATATAAATATCCAACTCAGGAAGTTAAAAAAGATCAGCAAATTAAATGTTAGAATGGTTAAAAACAATAAAATAAAGAGAAGAAAGTAATGATACAGAAATCAAACATAAAAAAAAAGATTCTTTAAAAGCCAAATAAGATTGATAAACCCTAGGCAAGACTGATTCAGCTAAAAGACAGAAGACAAAAAAAAAAAAAAAGTCAATGTCAGGAATGAAAAGGGAGACATCAAAATAAATAAATAAATAAAAATCAAAAAAGAAAAGGGAAACATCATCTCAGATCCATACAGACATTAAAAGAGAGGATAGTATGCCAATAAATTTAAATTTTAGATAAAATGGATCAATTGCCAGATAAACACAATTTACTAAACTGAAACAAGAAGAAATAAGGAATATTAATAGTCCTATAACTACAGAAGGACTAGAAACTATAAACACCTTCCATAATAAAAGCATCAGGCCAACATGGCTTCCCCAATGAAATCTATGTATCTTTCCTGGGCGCCTGGGTGGCTCAGTCATTAAGCGTCTGCCTTCGGCTCAGGTCATGATCCCAGGGTCCTGGAATTGAGTCCCACATTGGGCTCCCTGCTCTGCGGGAAGCCTGCTTCTCCCTCACCCACTCCCCCTGCTTGTGTTCCCTCTCTCGCTGTCTCGCTCTCTCTGTTGAAAAAATAAATAAAATCTTAAAAATATATATATATCTTTCCCTCTCTCACAACTCTTTCTTCTCCTTACTATAAGCTTATGGCCTTGCTTCATATTTTACTTTCAGTTCAAAAGCTATTATAATAGAATGTCTTGATCTTCCCATTACTGGTTGACCTATTATCTGCATCCACCTTCTTCAACTTTCCTAGTGTGATAGCAGAAGAGGTGGCCTCTCTGCCTATCGGTGGTAAATCCCTCCTTTTCCTTTCTTGAGTTTATTCCCTTTACCCTTCTCACCCAGTTTAGTTTTAGTTCTTTACTGATCTCATCTTGGTCTTGCAATGTTAATTTCGCCCTCTCCACTACGGCGTCATTGTTATCAGCACGTGAATATGCCATAAAAACTCCCATCTCAAATATAAAACAAAAGATTTTTGTTCTTTAGTCCATATTTTCCTGTAGCTATTGCTCCATTTCTCTTTCCTTCTTCATGGTGGGGAGGGGGGAGTCTTCTCTCAAGAGTCATCTAAAACTATCTCTAATGTCTACTTTTCATTCATCCTTTCAAAAATATATAATATTTTCAACATTCAATGTTAATGAAAAGGACTGAAGATGACACAAATGGAAAGATATTCCATGCTTATGGATTGGAAAAACCAATATTGTTAAAATGTCCATACTACTCAAAGCAATCTACAGATTCAATGTAATTCTTATCAAAATACCAACAAAATATTTCATAGAATTAGAACAAATAATCCTAAAATTTGCATGGAACCAAAGAAGACCCCAAATAGCCAAAGCAATCTTAAAAAGAAGAACAGGGGCGCCTGGGTGGCTCAGTCAGTTAAACACTCTTGATTTTGGCTCAGGTCATGATCTCCACCCCCTTTCCAAAAAAAAAAAAAAAAAAAAAACGGGAGAGAGAGAAGAACAAAGCTGGGGGTTTCACAATCTCAGATTTCATGATATTACAATGTGGCAGTAATCAAAACAGTATAGTACTGGCACAAAACCAGACACAGATCAATGGAATAGAACAGAATAGAGAATTGAGAAATAAACCCATGTTTATATGGTCAATTAATTTATAACAAAGGAGGCAAGAATACACAATGGGGAAAAGACCGTGTCTTCAACAAACAGTGCTGGGAAAACTGGACAGCTATATGCAAAAGAATGAAACTGGACCACTTTCTTACATCATGCAGAAAAATAAACTCAAAATGGATTTAACACCTAAATCTAAGAGCTGAAACCATAAAATTCCTAGAAGAGAACATACACAGTGATTTCTTGGACAATGGGCATAGAAACATTTTTCTAGATATATCTCCTCAGGCAAGGAAATCAAAGGTAAAATTAAACTATTAAACACACCAAACTAAAAAGCTTTTTGCATAGTGAAGGAAATCACCAACAAAACAAAAAGATAACCTACTGAATGGGAGAAGATACCTGCAAATGATACATCTGATAAGGGCTTAATATCCAAAATATATAAAGAACGTGAACAACTCAGCACCAGAAAACAAATAATCCAACTGAAAATGGGCAGAAGACATGAAAACATATTTTTCTGAAGAAATACAGAATGGCTGATGGAGACATGGTAAGATGCTCAACATCACTACTAATTAGGAAATGCAAATTAAAACCACAATGAGATACTACCTCACCACCAGTCAGAAAGGCTGAAATAAAAAACACAAAAAATAAAAAGTGTTGGTGAGGATGTGAAGAAAAAGGAACCCTCACATTCACTGTTGGTGGGAATGTAAATTGGTGCAGCCACTGTGAAAACAGTATGGAGGTTCCTCAAAAAATTAAAAACAGAATTATCATATGATCCAGTAATTCCACTACTGGGTATTTACCCAAATAAAACAAAAACACTAATTTGAAAAGCTATGGATACCCCTATGTTTATTGCAGCATTATTTACAATAGCCAAGATATGGACGCCACCCAAGTGTCCACTGACAGATGAATGGATAAAAGACATGTGGTGTGGATATACAATGGAATATTACGTGGTCACAATAAAGAATGAAATCTTGCAATTTGCAACAACATGGATGGACCTAGAGGGTATTATGCTAAGTGAAATAAGTCAGTCAGAGTGTAATGTAGGAAACAAAACAAATGAACAACAAAGAAAAGAAATTAAAAAAAAAAAAACCCAAACTCTTAAATACAGAGAACAAACTGGTGGTCACCAGAGGGGAGGTGGGTGGGGGATGGGTGAAATAGGTGAAGGGGATTAAGGAGCACACTTATCTTTTTTAGCTTTTTTTTTTTATTTTAATTTAATTTTATTATGTTATGTTAGTCACCATACAATACATCATTAGTTTCTGATGTGGTGTTCCATGATCCATTGTTTGTGCGTAACACCCAGTGCTCCATGCAGTACGTGCCCTCCTTAATACCCATCACTGGGCTAACCCATCCTCCCACCCCCTCTCCTCTAGAACCCTGTTTGTTTCTCAGAGTCTATAGTCTCTCATGGTTCGTCTCTCCCTCCGATTTCCCCCCTTCATTTTTCCCTTCCTTCTCCTAATGTCCTCCATGCTGTTCCTTATGTTCCACAAATAAGTGAAACCATGTGATAATTGACTTTCTCTGCTTGACTTATTTCACTTAGCATCATCTCCTCCAGTCCCATCCATGTGGATGTACAAGTTGGGTATTCATCCTTTCTGACGGCTGAGTAATATTCCATTGTATATACAGACCACATCTTCTTTATCCATTCATCTGTTGAAGGGCATCTTGAGGAGCACACTTATCTTGATGAACACTGAGTGATGAATAGAATTATTGAATCATTATATTGTACATCTGAATCTCATATAAAACTATGTTAATTATACTTGAATAAAAAATCTATAATATTGATACATGAAAAGAATATATGTAAAACATATTGAGTTACGGATGGCATCATGATAACATTCTCAAGTGAACTAGAATCTATTTCTTTAATTCCATCTCCACTATCAGTTTAACAAAAGTTATCATCTCTGCCTAGACTATTGTAACAACCTCATTACCTGGTTTAATGCCCTCTAGTTCAATTTCCACACACAGAATTATTTCCTAAAAATCCTTGATTAAAGTCTGTCACTGCCTTCACTCACTTTGATTAAAATCCAAATAGTTACCAACACCTACAAAGCTCTGAGTAGGCAGGCTGTTGTCTAACTCTGATACCAGTCTCCTGCTCACTGAGGCTTCAGTCACAGCAACCTCCTTTTCATTTCTAGAACACATTTCATTCTTTTCTGTGTCTGGTCCTTTGCCTGGAATGCTTCTCCTTTCCTCTTCCCTTGGCTGCTTGCTTCTGAATCTTCAGGGCTCAGCTTTAATGTCCTCCCCTCAGAAGCCTTCCCTGACCATACTCTCTGAAGGAGGCACCTTCATCTCCATCCCAGTTACTCTTTCATATCCCCCAATTTATCTCATAAATGAAGGTTGTTACAACCATTATTTAGCTTCTTTTTATTTATATACTTGTTAATTTCTCAAAATTTAATCTTTGTGATGGCAGGGAGCTGGTCCATCTTACTCATTGCTGTAGACCTAGTGCCTAACCCAGTACACAGAATACAGATGTCTGATAAATACCAATTAAATACATAAATAAGTACTGTATTTTGATTCTCAACTGATTCCTTGTTTGTATTTTCAATGAGCGAAGAACCTGGAGGAAAAGAGGAGGGTCCCCCCCAAATCTCAGCAGGCTTGCAAGTGAAGAAAGTTAAATAATGAGTAAATAGGTTTGGCTTAAAAGGAACCAGTGGTGACCCTTAGGAAAGCGTTTTCAGGAAAATTAATGAAGGAAGAGATGTCAGAAAATGGTTCAACAAATGAGAAAAATGTAAAGTTAACTGGAGAGGACAGAACTGAAAGGGGTGCTTCATGCACGTTTGAATGAAGGACTAAGTATGAAGATCATAGCCTCAAGAAAGCAAAGTAAGACGGGACTGGGAATCAAAAGTAGAGACTAGAGAGAGGAGAAGCAACAGGAGAGGGAAAAGGAGAGAGAGAGAGAGAGCAAGGGAGGGAGAGAATCTCTTCTTCTGAGATAGTTTTGAGCAAGGATACTCCCCAAAATATTTCAGATGTTCTGCTCCATCCATAACCTATAAACTTAAAACAAATCCAGTCCTCCTCGTTTTTATTAACTCACCTGGATAGGGAGTTCTTGCAATCTCTCTCTCTACAACACATGGTCCTTTTCCATCCTCCAAATGAGATATCATGTCTGGTTTGGAAACTGCGAGCCCTGTTCAGAAAAAAATGAATAGGACTTGACTGTGTCTATGAGTAAGAACTATTGCCAAATTCAGTCTCAGCTCTTAATCTTCAGTGCAGAGTGGCTATTATGGGAAGTTCTGGAGATGCACTGCCCAATAGAGTTGTCAACAGCCACATGTGGCTATTTAAATTAGTTAAAACTATATAAAATTTAAAAATCAGTTCTTCAGTTGGACTAGCCAGATTTCAAGTTCTCAGTAGCCTCAAGTGGCTAGTGCCTGTCCTATTGGACAGCACAGATACAGAACATTCCCAGCACAACAGAACATTCTATTGTACGGTGGTGTTACAGATGATTACAAAGGAGCTCAACACCATGATCCCAGGTTTTCTGGGATAATAGAACATGAGAATAATCTGAGTTTAGAAAGAAAATGAACACATTTTTTCCTTTCTTTCTGGAGGTACTGATAACTCCCATTTATAAAAGTGATCAGAAAAAACTTTAGTTCTAAATATGGGCTACTGTCAACAATCTACAAGATTCCAATGAAATATGTATTCCTTACTCTACAATGGGTGGGCCACTTAATTAAGAGCAAGGGATAGCATGACTCCCAACAACATCCCCCTAATATGAGATCTTAATGCCTAAACTCTAACCCCAAGTTCAGTTAAGTACTTTAGAGGCTCTATATCTTCAGCAAACCTGATCAAGTGGGTAGATACAGGAACACAGAAGTTATTCTTACCCAGGGAGACAAGATTCCTATAATTCTCTAGCATCACATCCTTGTGTAGGTTCCTCTGTGAAGGGTCCATCAACCTCCACTCTTCTAATGTGAAGTCTATAGCCACATCTTTAAATGTCACGGAATCCTAAAATAAATACACTGTGATCACCCAGGGACTACACAATGCGACCTGCTGGGCAGAATAATACATATAAATCTGGAGGAATACTCCAGAAATCAGAATCACCAAACGACCACTGAAGTTCATCCCTTAAAGGATGAGTGAATCTCTGCACTGATAAGAACTTAAAACCACAAGAGGAAGCCCATTCCATTTCCTGAGTTTTACTTGAAGCAGGATTTTCTTTTCAGACTAATTCAAATCTGGCTTTCTCTAACTTTGAAATATTGGTCTTACTATATTATCTGGAGCCAAACAGTATGGTTTCCTCCTTCCCTAGAAAGTCTTAACATTTGATAACAGCTAGTAGTTTCTACCCAAATCATCCTTTCTCCCTCAAAACCCTGGCTTATCTATACTATCTGCTCTTCCTCAGTTCCAAATCTACAGAATATGACTTAATAAAAGACAGTTTATCATTCAGATTGTAGATACAGAATACTGTAAGCCCTGTCTTTGAGCAAGAAAAGTAAGAAATCATGGGGACTTTGGAGAACTTCTTTGGGCAGGATATGAATTATATATGTGCTTCTATAAAAAAAATGAAGAATGAGCCACAACATTTTTTTAGTGGTTACCTGTTAGAGGAAGGAGGAAATAGAGAGAGTGGACAGGACTGAAATTAGAAGCTAGACTCTTTTGAATATTTCTCGTTTTGTAGATTTTACTTTTGAACCATGTAAATGTATTATGAAAAAAATTAAAATTTAAAAAAGTCATCTCTAAAAATTAAAAGAAAAATGAAACCAGTTTGAAGCACAGACATCCATCAAAGATGAAATATTTTAAGTGACTTTAAAACATAACAATTTGCTGTATATCCTTTGTGAAATATACCCCAAGAAGAAAAAGAATGGCAAAAAACAAAAACTGTGTTTTCAATAAATAATTGTACTGTTGGTGGTAGTGATGAAAATGCTATTTTGTAACTGCTGTGTGTGTAGTGTTTGATAAAGCAAATTAGTGGCAAATTATTGATGCCCTGAGAACAAATAAATTTGGCATGACAGAAAGAAGATATAAATGTAATATTGATGATTATGCAATAACTCCATAGATCCAAATTTGAATTGGAATTATCAGTATAAACTCATCAATTATTTTAGTTTTAAGGAAAAAAATAAATTTCCTAGCTTCATCGACGGAAAAGCCCTAAAAATAAAAACAATAACTAATAAGGTAACATTATGCAAGCTAAACTGTGGCCTTTAAGTATTACTTTTCACTAAAAGGAACCAAGGCCTGGAACATTCTGTGATACCAAAAGGCAGGGCAGCTATCAAAGACTACTAAGATCATATCTAAGACACAGGAGACAACTTGAAGAGGCTCCCACTAGTTAATAATAATGGGACAATTTGAACATCAGTGAGGATAATAAATACAATGGGTTTCAAAAACACACATTTAAATTCATGATTTCATAATACTACTATAAAAATACTCATTGATTATTTTTGGAGGATGCCTGGAAACTGGTAAATAAATAGAAATAATTAACCTTTTGTCCTTTTCCTATGGAAAATATATATAGCTTGTAGAGTAACCAAGTGTGATCACACAGTTGATGAGAGATTTCTCTTTATGGAAGGATTCCAGTTAATACATGATAAGGAACAAAAAAAATTAGAACATCATCATTTTGCAACCTCTAATGAATTAAAGGGTCATCAGTGGCTGCTAATATAACAAAGAGGCCTCAACAAGGCATTATGTGCCTTCTGGTAGTATACACCAGATATATGAGACACTGTCGCCAAAAACATTTTGGAAAGCATCAAATCAGAATCTGATTAAGCCTCTAGATCTAAAGAACAATACACTGGAAATACAGGGGAAAGAGAAACATCTTAAATAACCCTTATTTGACAATCAATAAAATCCATGTTGTATGAAATTCTAAATCAGTACTGTCCAGTAGAGGTATATTGCAAGTCACGTATGTAATTTAAGGTTTTCTAGCAGCCCCATTAAAAACAAAAGGAAACAAGTGAAATTATTTTTAATATGTTTTAGCTTAATATATATGCAATATTATAACCTCAACATGCAATCAATGTAAAAATTATTAATGAGACACTCTCTTTTGTACTAAGTCTTTGAGATATGACGTGCATTTTAAATTTACAGGGCATCTCAGTTTGGACTAGTTACATTTCAGATGCTCAACAGCTACATGTGGCTAGTGGCTACTATACTGGGCAACACAGCTAGAAAGTACAAATAATGTGGGTTTCTTCAATGAATTATTACAAGGAGAAAAAAAGAGGGAGGGGGAAAACGCTAGCCTAAAAGTAACCTGAGACAATATTAACTAATCATAACATATGAATCAGCTGGGGAAACAAATACCAAGTCAACATTTGATGATATTAAGGCTTTCTGCTGAGTTTTAGCTGAAACCATGGTAATATACTTAACATTAAAAAACATGTTATAGATATATGTAACAAGATTTTTTTTAATTAAAAGATTTTATTTATTTATTAGAGAGAGTGAGCACAAGAGGGCATAGGGTCAAAGGGAGAAGCAGACTCCCCCTGAGCAGGGAGCTCGATGCGGGACTCGATCCCAGGACTCCGGGATCATGACCTGAGCCAAAGGCAGTCACTTAACCAACTGAGCCACCCAGTCGCCCTGATATGTAACAAGATATTTGTAAATGAAATTATATATCTTGTATGTGCTTCAAAATAATTAATGAGAGAGGGTAAGATTACAAATGAAATATGATTATCCAGGGGCTGATACTTGTTGAACACAGACATTAGGTACAAAGGGATTCAGGAAACCACTCTCTCTTCTTTTGCGTACATATAGTGCATAATATTTGTCAGGTGCTGATCGAAGGCCTTGTTATGTAATGACTGAATCCTCACAATAAAGAAGGTGCTAATAAGAAAAGTGAGGCATGAAAAGATTCCATGTCTTGCCCAAGTTCTCAGAAAAGGTAAAGTCTAGATTCAAATTCAGGCATTTTGACTCCAGAATTCAAACTCATAATCACTAACTCTATGATCTAATAAGCTAAAAATCCCGATTCGCTGATTAGTCAGACCAAGGTCTCAGGTTAGATTATATTTGGCTAAGATTTGCTCTATATCAGAAGAAACAGATTTCTACTGGGATGTTTTCCTGCCATACAGATATGTATACTTGTCAACTATTTAAACTTCTGTATTTATTTGTACCTGAAAGTGCATGAAGCAAACTTTTCATTCTGTTAATAATAAAATATGGCTAACATGGGAGATAATGACAGTATATAAACTTTATTGTTAATCACGTCACATGTCACTCAAATTATAATGAACTTACTGGGTTTTATTTTCTTTCCCCACCAAGAATGAAACCCCAGGAAAAACATAAGAAGGCCCTCAGCTCTCAGCTCTCACCTTTGGCTTACTTTGAGGGTCTGTGCAAGCAAGAGTTGTAAACTGCCTACTTAAGACTACTAAGAGAAGGTATGCCGATCACACACAAAAACCTTTTGGCAAATGCTAGAAGACTTGCTGGCTTAAGGCATTTAAGAAAATCTGTGCCCAAGGGAAGCAAGGGCAAAAATGAACTACTGGGATTTCATCAAGATAAAAAGCTTTTGCACAGCAAAAGAAACAGTCCACAAAACCAAAAGACAACCGACAGAATGGGAGAAAATATTTGCAAATGACATATCAGATAAAGGGCTAGTATC